ATTATTCCGTGCAAATTTCTAGAGTATGAAATATTGGGTTATCCCCGAATGTAGCTCTTTCCTACTTCCTGTTCCCGAAACACGCACTTAAATTTAGTTTCCTAAGCGAACAATTTTTGACATCACATAGGGTAGGCTAGATTGCAATGTTAAAATGGAAAATACCTAAAATTCAGTATGCTACAATAGTTCGTAAGTTCCGAACCCACTCAGCTTGACCACTGGGTTTCACAGAATGTATTATGCGCGCATGTACATACCTATATAGGTATGTATAAATGTGTGTGGATTTTTATTTGGCAATATTGCAAATTTTCTATTCTCTTTTTGCTGCTGCAGTTCGGGCAATAAATCGATGAAAACTACGATTGTATGCAAAACTAGAATGAAATGAAAATGCACAAATGATTTGCCGGAAAATGTCAAATAAATCTTTTTTCTTCGCAATTTTTTTTTTTTTTGTTTTTTTTCTCTCTCTTCTGTCTACTATGAATTGAATTCGAATTTTTGCATTGCGAGAGTGTGCGCGTGTGTAGAAATAGTGCTTTTTGAAGGCATTATATAGTATTTTGTGTGGTTTATGAAATATTTGTTGCTAATGCACATGCAAATGAACTGACAATATAGAAAATTCCACAAATGTAAATTTTAATGTTTCGAGGCGCACAACTTTTTGCCGGGCGATAGTGATTTGCGTATGTCGGTGCGTGCACACACACATGTTTACATAACATATGCATATGTAAGTACCATATAAATATTATATATTTAGAGTTTCATATGTGGGCGCTTGGCGCTGAGCACCAAAGGAAGAGCGCTGCGAGAATATACGTAGAGGGAAATATATTGCAATCATAAAATAATTTACAAAATGAATTTAGAGAATTATTTTATTGTTTTTGTTTTTAATCGAAAACACAACGAAATTGAATATTTTCATTGAAAATTATTTCGTTTGGTGAACGCAAAGTATTTCTGGTCTGGGTTAAGTAGTTGGTGTGAGGTAGTAGTAAATAATGTTGGTATAATGGTATGTAACCCTTCTGCTTGGCACTTTCTGCTGAATTTTATGCGTAGCTTTAAGTTTAAAGTTAAAATTTAAATTTTAAAGCTTTAAAGCTCAATATTTTGTTAATTTAACACATCCAGTTAATCAGCACAAATTAAATTACATTTTGATATTAATAGATCTCAAAGGAAGCTCACTCGATTCTCTTAACGGTTGTTCTATCATACATCGGCTTGCCTCTTTCATTCTTTACACTACACTACACTACATAAGGTTATCAGCATTGCAACGGAATAAAGAAATTACAAGACAAAAAAATATCGAAATTAAAAAAAAAATGGCGATTTATTTTTCAATATAATCTTCTTCCAGTTTGAAACACTTACCTCAGTGATGCTCCAACTTTTTTAACACGTCTGAAAGTTACGTTTGATCAGAAAGTCTGTAAAGTAGGCTTCCATAGTTGCGATAAACTCCACATTCGACTCAAATTTCCATCCAGTGAGTTACTTATTGAAGTTTGGCATTAGAACAACTCGCAGCTGTGACCCAATGCTGTAGAGAAAATATCTCCAACATTTCCAACTCCAATTAGTGTAGTAATGTAGAACATCGTGTGTGTCTCCGAAACAGATTCGCCGCGTGAGGGCCGCTGTTTCGACAGTCCCTTGTTCAGTTCAGTCAGAGGCTCAGTTAAATTTGAGCTGAAATATTCCTCATAGAGGACGGCAACGTTTTTTGCAAACTTAAATAACTACTTTATATCTAATTTGAATACTTCATCTAGTGCCTTGAACTGCGAAGCTTCTATCTAAGGCTGGACAGAAGCATAGGGGATGTTTCAGCACTTCTCTTATGCCAACTTTCCTACACTTTTTGAATGTATCATCGTTACTGATGCTCGCATGTACTGCCAGTGTGAGTAAAAAGCATGCGTGTTTTTCTTCTTTCTAATCCAAACTCTGGCGGTATTGGTACGGAACCACTAAAAATGTTTTTTGTCAATTTCAGAACTTTCTTCTGGTTTGTTAAATATTCACGTTGTGTGGAAAATTTCTTGATATCAAGCGGTTGAATTTTTTATTGAATATTGGTCCCCAGATTAGATCTTACAGTTTATTATTTTAAATTTTTTACATTTTTTGTTTGGGTAAATTTCCTAATCCATTGACTTTTTCAACAATGAAATCCACAAAAATTTGTGTGCTCTCTCGCAAAGACTTAAGCCCCAACAACAAGGACACAGCAGATGAGATACTCACGTTTTTGCAACAAATACTTTTACTACTCTTTCGTCGTCATTCATCCAAAAATGGACAGAATTTTAAATATCTTAAGCGCCCATAGGGCAGAAGCGTTGCCTACCTCCACCTTTTGCTGAACAAACAACAGCGGAATTTTTCATTGCCGGCTTTCAACGTCTTGTTGGATTATTAAGTTGTTAAGTCTTGGTGTTGTTGAGCTGCGTCATCCATTGTTTGATGCATTCATAATCGATAAAAAGAAACAGACGCGGGACAACAACAACAATATACAAGAAAAATACCGAAAAAATGTTGAGGCAAAGAAGACAATGCTTGCAAAGACAATCCACTAAGGCCACAGCTTGTGCTTTCCCTGAAGCAGCAGCATTAGCGCTGCAGTACCATCAACAAAACAAACAACAACAACAACGGCAATTGCAAACGATGCTGATGTAGTTACAAGCGATATCCGTACACTAACAACAACTATATTTTGGCAAAGTTTCAACTCATTGTCGATTATTCGTCGGTTGCAACAACAGCAGCAAGAACAACGCAACCGCAACGGTTGTTGTTATTTTCGTGTAAAGCATAAGCGCCGTCAATGGCATTGGAGCAACCCTTTTCGGCGATCGCCAAAAATTAGATGCATACAAAAACTACAACAACAACAACTGCATAACTAACAGCAACAAAATGCAAACGGCCCGCAGATGAATGCGCTGATGGCCAACAACAATGCCAGACAGACACAATAACAGTGAGTTTTATAAATGCAAAATAACAGCCACAACAACAGAGCGACAACGACAACCATACGTTGCCACAAAATCTGCGGTTGCTGTTTGAAAAATGTTGCATGAATGTTTATGCAAATTAGCATTAATTGACGCTTCTGTATTGATGTTGCGCCAGGACTGATTGTCCTGCCCCATCGATGGCATGCCGCTAATGCGACTGTCCCTAACACAATAATGAAAATAGTGGTTTACTGTTACTCATGTTTTTATGTCTCAATGAGATAATTATTAACTTACATAAATATTGCAACAAACTGAGAGCAGTCGCTGAGGTTTAAAACAATTACAGTTGCTTAATGCAATTTTATTGAAATAATAATAAGAAATTGAAGTAAATACGAGTGCGGTCCGATAATGACCGGCCGATAGCGTCACTATACTATTCTGTGTAGAAGAGAAATTTTCTCCGTTTTCGGTATCGACAGACTGCCGGTTGAACGTCAGGCATCTATAATAAACCACCTGGATCTTATATTGTATGAAATATTAGACATTATAAAGCTGTCGGCGCAATGGATGCTGTATTTGCTCATCATGATGACCCTTTCACCTCCACTATCGCTGCGGCTAAATTGGTCTAACTAGGCAATAGCTGTTATCCTATCCACCATTTTCTGTAGCTTTGGCTTCGTGCGACAACTTTTTGTTTCAAAAGTAACGCGCTGGACTACGCTTTGGTCGTTTGATAAGATTTTCGCGTACCACGGCCTACATTGAAGGACTCCATAATTCTATTTTTCGAACCGATGGTGGAAAGTCGGTAGCTCAACTATATCGAGATGAAAAGATACTATGCTGAGCAATAAATCGCAACTTTCGTTAAATAATTATTCAACCACTTTAGAATTTGTTCTTGCTAATATTTGCTATACTTGTATTGCTTTTCTATGATATTGTTATGGGCCCTCACTCAATCCATCGATCCTGAACCTGAACCTTATTGTGGTTGTGGTCTGTTTTACTATTGCTTCCATGTTTTTTTGCTCGGTTTTTTTTTACACTTTTTTCTACGATTTGAAAGGGCAAGGAACATAAGTTTTTGAGAGAAAAATGTCTTTATCTCTTCATTTTCGGATCATCTGTCGGATTCGCCGACATCGGTACAATATAGCACATACTTGTATGTAGCTACCATACAAACTGAACGAACAAGGTTCAGCTCTTGCAAGGAAACTCTGGAATGCTTTTATCTCTCTCTTTCTTTTTTTTTGAACACTGTAAGCTATTTAATTACAAATAAACTAATCTATTAAAGGCTGCTGAGGAGGAAATTCTCGTTCTTAATTCGGGGTTTTCTATATCATACATCGCAAGTACTTTCCACCTTCCTTAACACCTCCAGAGATCGGCATGTATAGAGATATACATTTATATGTGTGTAGCATTCAACTAGAGGTTCCTATTAACTAATTGTTGCGACCTCTAGCGGTCGTTAGTTAACATTTTAGTTGAAAATAGCCGAGTTCTATGATGTACAGCGCTTATTATCTTTAAACTCTTACCAAAGTCAGGAGGTGTCGCGCTTAGCATTCCTTAACCGATTAATGTACCCTAGAGGCTTTTTGGGTAACTGACCTTTTAAAGTTGTGGGAAGATCTTAAATTATTCGTCGATCGCATTGGTGATGCACATAATCAGCGCTTTGGAAATTATAGGACAAATTTGGGTAGTGGTTCCTCTAGAAAGAATTCATGGTCTGTTAAGACCTTTTTTAGGCAGAAGTCCACTTTCTTTCTATTCATATATGTGACTAATAATTTTGTTGGTTCCGTACGCTTTAAGATGTGATAATATCTATTGTCAGTTGTAAAAAATATTTATTGTGTTTTAGTGTTTCCTTACAGCCTTTTTGGATTTCCTCACTAAGGAGCTGCTCATTTATCGGAACATACAAACTGAATAATCGGACTGTTTAGTAGTACCAAACTGATATCAGCTTCTCTTTAGTTTCAGGGCATATTCAACGGATTTAGTTCGAGAAAAGTTGCTTACCTCGGTGGCTCGACCCGCCAAGAAAACGAAGCGCAAAGTAACCGTTGTGGGATGCGGTCAAGTGGGCATGGCTGCAGTGATGAGCATACTTTCGCAAAATGTCTCGAATGAAGTGTGCATTATAGATGCCAACGAGAAATTGGTGAATGGCGAAAGCAAAGACATGCAACATGGTTCCGTGTTTCTAAGGGATGCCACAATTGTTGGCAATACAGATTACAAAGCTTCCGAGGATTCAGCTGTTTGTGTTGTCACAGCTGGTGCTCGGCAAAAGGAGGGGCAAACTCGTTTGGATCTGTTGAAAACGAATTTGAAGATTTTAGATCAAATAATACCACAACTTGTGAAGTACTCACCCGATATGATACTAGTTATGGTCTCGAATCCCTGTGATATTTTGACACATGGTGCTTGGGTCATTTCTGGCTTACCCAAAGAACGTGTAATTGCAACCGGCACACACTTGGATACCGCACGGTTTCGTTACTTTATTGGACAACGTCTGGGTGTCGCACCGAGCTCGGTACAAGGCTATATTATTGGTGAACATGGTGACAGTTCAGTGGCAGTTTGGAGCTCCGTTAGTGTGGGTGGTATACGCTTTGCTGATCTACTGAAATGTGTGGGTTCCGAGGGTGACACCGATCAATGGGGAGAAGTGCACAAAAAAGTCGTTAAGGCTGCCTATGAAGTGATCGCCGGTAAAGGTTACACCAATTGGGCAATCGGCTTGACAACGGCGTCTGTAGTTTCGACGATTTTGGATAACAAAAAGGAGGTTGTCACAGTTTCTACCCTAGCAAAGGTAAATTAAGACACTGATGCGTCTGTTGATGTATAGCAATTATATCTTCCTTTACTCTTAGGATCGTCAAGGCATTGAACACGATATTTTCTTATCCTTACCGGTAGTACTCGGTGCAAATGGTGTAAGCTCCTATATAAATCTACAGCTTAGTGAGAGCGAACAAGAAAATCTGTGCAAATCAGCCGAAGCTATAAATAAAGCAATAAAATCTATATGTGGCTAGAACGGTAGTGTTCCAATTGATTTTGTATTTGAAGTATATTTTATGTAAATGATCGTTAATGTACAATAAAAACAATTTCTTAAAATAAGCGTATTATTTTAGGAAATTGTTTTTCTTTGCCATTAAAGAGATTCGTAACTCGTGTTACTGATTTTTCGATAATTTATTGAAATATGCAAAGTTATGAGTATGCAAAGTAAGAGAGATAGTGAGGGAAAGGTCCACTAACTCTATAAAAAAGTTACTTTTTGGTAATAAAAGAAACCATATGAAATTTCTTATAATCAACTCAGAACATCCTACGAAACATTATGGTATAAAACAGAAAAATTAAATTCATAACTGGAAGCCTGTGGGGAAAAATATCTCCCAAAATTTATGTGCTCGTACATCTTTTGATTTTCTCTTTGTAGGTTGCCAATTTAATAGCACTTCGGAACTAGTCCGGCTAGAACGGTTTTAATTTAAAAAATTTGTAGAAAGAAAGAACTTGTTGTATTAAAATTATTGCTGGCATAATGCGCTACATTGAAGCATAAAAAAATACCACAATACAACAAAACTACATGTGTACAGAAGTTTACTTCGAATGATTAGACTTAGCGTTTTATCGTCAAACCATATTAAATTAATTCGAATAACTGTATACTCAGAAGTCCGTGGTTTTATTTATATTTTGTATGTATGTATATTTGATGGATATTTTTAACACTGTAGATGCAACTGAACTCCACTGTATGCAAGCGGTGCGTCAACATTTACAGTTAAGTTGCAACAGAGACCACCGGCAGAAGGTAAACGTGACAATGATCGCGTGGCAAGTAAATATTGGCACAAAAACAAAACCCCGATCAAATACATATTTATTTGCGTGGGGAATGCAAGCACACTTGCAACAACACAATGTATTTTATATTTGCGTTGATCTTACCGTTAGCATTCAAATTAAACTTGCAAAAACAAAGAATTTATTTATTAATGCATGAAAGTTCAATGCAAACGTAAAGGTTGAACACACATAAAATTTTAGATATAAATACAATATATAAGAATATACATTATAAAAGCAACAACAAATTAATATTCGTGGAAGACATAAAAGTATATAAATATTTATGTTACATATGCTTCTAAACATTATTGTTTAAATCAAGTTACGTTTTAATTAAATGGTTTTTACGAATTTCAAAATAAAATTCAAACCAAAAATCTTTGCTTCTGAATGTATCAAAATCGAGTTAAGCTGTTTTGCTTGTTTTTGATCAGCTGAGTTAAATTATTCAGTTATAAATATTAATAGAGAATAATTGCAGTAAAGACACATACCTTATATAACGTGTATCAACAATTAATTATAATTATTAGTAGGCATACATATATAATCCATTAGTAACTGCTGACAAAAGAAATGACTTTCACACTAAGCATACTCAGGCTGGTATAGATCAAAGTTCCACTTGGGGTACGTCTTGCAAATAAAAAAACAAACTACTTTATCAATTGTTTAACAAATTTAAAGATATATTTATTTTTAGAATACAACGTAAAATAATCGAAAAAACAATTTAAATATTTTTCGAGTTACAGGCGATCTCCGAAGGCGCTAAAAAATTTCTTTAAATGCTATAGTGTATCCGGCCTTCTCCGTGGATGAAGCCTTAAAAAATTTAAGCTAGCAGATATTGTCGATACATTGACCTACGGTCGGAAATAATCAAAACCGGAAAAATAGATTTGTTTAACAGCAGTTTAGTACTTTTTGGACAGTCAAATTTCGATTTCGAATCATTTGTCTCGGAGTAATCAGAAATTCGAAAAATGCTATCTCACGATAAACGCGGTTAAAGATAAACTAATCGAGTTAGAAACCTGTGACTCAAGAACTATTTGAGATATCGATTTTAGCATATTATTTTTAAAGGAGAAATACAAAGCAATTTTTTTTTCAAAAATTCATTCTAAATGTGCTCATTTAACTTTTTAACTTTAAGATAGGTTGCTCCATGTTATAAAATATAAAAATGTTTATTTTATTAAAGAATTAAGCAAACAGGAAGTAAGTGTTTGGGGGAATGACAACAAAAGGTAAACAAATATCATAAAGCGCCTACCATTTCCCCTCCCGAACGCATACCTTCAACATTTAATTTATAAAGTAAGTGATCTAGCATTTATAACCCGCAATGCCTGAACCAAACAAAATCGAATTGCAATATTCTAGAAGCGATTTGTTATTGTTTTCTGACTATACACATGACATAAGCATATGTATAGTATATCGACACGGCTTTATAAACCTGATAGGAATTTTTGTTTTAAATTTTAGCTAATATTTATTTGAATTAGAGATTCAAGCGTATGCATTTATGGCGAATTGTGAGAGCGAATTGTTGCACGTGATCGCATTAAAATATACTTTTATAGTAAACAAATAATAGTAATTAGCAATATCCCAATTATTGCTTTTCCAATTTAATCTCATTAGAACAGTATAGGCCTTTACTAACAAGTGTGGTCACGATTTCACAACTATTGTGGAGAGAGTTGATATAAAATTATTCGGGAGCGTATATATGCACATATGAACGAATAATTATGTGGAAGTGTGCTGCTGCTATCGATTAAATTGCACAAGTTCTGTCGTTGTTGCAGCAGCTTTGATGAAATGCCTCATCCAGCGTGTTATATTTAGTAGTAACGGTGTGAGTAATCAAGCGGTTAAGCAAAAGTCGGGCTGACAACAAGCTATTAAAAGCAATGTGCTGTGTTAATATGTACATACGTATGCGTATAAATGTACGGTAGCTGACGTAAAAAGTTTATAATTACAGGCATGAGTACCTAGGTATATATAGTAAATATTTATATATGTATGTATGTACATATATGCATGATTTGGGGCAGCATAGCGCGTGGCTCTGATGATTGATAGCGAACTAGTTGATAATGACATTTATCTATGTATGTATAATAAATACTTTTCCTTCAAGTTAAATGATTTTTGACAAATAACGTAATTACATACCTTGTACATATGTATTATTTTGTAAATGCATGTATTGTGTACAAATTTGAAAATAGGTCAGTTTTATTGTAGAATATTATATACTCGTATCCTAACTTATCGTTTATAGCAGGGTTAGAGCGGAGTTTTTATGATACCATAGTTTTAAATTTTATACATATATGATTTTATGTACATTTTTATATTTGTTTATACTAGGGTGGGCCAATAAAATAATATTATTTAAACAGTAAAAAAGCCTTAGTCATATTTTTAATACAACTAAGTATGTTATCATAAACAAAATTTCTGTATGAAAAAAAAGTTATTTTATGATTTTGAGGAATTATTTTTGGAAATAATGTAAAAAAGTGTAAAAATTATAGTTTGAGATTTAAGCTTGGATTTGGACCTGGAATAACTTTTGCAGGAGTCGTCTTAGCAAAAATCTTACAAGACCTTTTTTTATCATTAAATTCCATATAATCCAGAATAAGTTTTAATTTTCACTACACAATAACTTGTTCAAATGCATTAAATACCCAAACTAAATAAGAAAATATGCCTGTGCTATTTATATAAGAAATCAAATGCGCCACCTGTTAATCTTAACAAACTTTACTTAAAAAAAATTTTTTTTTTAGTCATTTCGGACGATATTTTCACCCTAATATATGCATTAGGATGAGACAAAAAAAAGCTAAATGTCTACTTTTGATTATTTCCACTTTTCAAAGCTTTAAATATACGAATTTTTAAATTGAAAAAAATTTTTCTGGGTTAACTTTTTTAGAAAACTTTGCAAAAACCCGCAATCTAAACATTTTTCCAAATGGTTCAGAGTTATGGTATTTTTATCGAGAATTAATTTTATTACCAGTTGCTTGAGAGGGGAGCTTTGAATGCTCACCGAATCCTTACAGCGATATTTTTTTCTCTGCACATAAGTTCCATAGGTTACCTAATATAGGTTCGATAGGTTAGTTTTTTGGCTCACCCTAATGATAAAAACCATTTATTCCTAGTTTGAAATTATTTCATGTAACATATTATTCTAAAACATCATATCGTTCTAAAAGAAATTATCATTATTATACTACAAGACTTGCATTTATTAGCTCAATATCTAGCCCTTTTGATTAAAAAATATTTTTAGTTCTTAATCAATTTCTGTTGTGAAAAAAGTTTCGACACGCACTATAGGTCTAAAAGTTTTTTCCCAGTTCTAAAAATGTATTATAAATGCGATATATAATATAGCTGTGATTCAATAAATATATGTACATATATGGTATAACAGTTTCGCGGCTATACTTGTCATAACAAAAAAGAGGACTTTTGAACAAATTTATAATCTAAAAAAAATATTTTAGGTGTTTCAAAAAAAAAAATTTTTTTGGTTGTCGTTTTTCATTGATTGAACGTCGATAAATAGATAGACCTACGTTTATTTGTTTCCAGACCGTCTAGTTTTTATTGTATATATAAACATCGCTTTTGTATCTGATATCTTCGTTTTTCGTTATCGATTTTGGCAGTCTGCTATTATCACATTTTCATATGGAAATTTTGTTGATCACTTTTTCCCACACATTGATAACTTTGCCCACGCGGTGCTTAACCTACAATCATCAGCGCAGGCATACGCACTCATCAATGAGTCAACCTTATCAGGCAGCTAACCCATTAGTAGTGATATACGAGTATAATGCATGTTATATGAATATGTCTAATTTTATTTATTTTTATTTCTTTCAATTAAAAAATTTTGTTTTGTTCGGCACTTGGCTCACCCAGATGGATGTGATTGGAGCGCCGATCAATCTATTTGGCCAAAGGATTTACGTGCGTTATCTTTATTATATTCGGAATTGGTTTTATATACTGCATAAGCACACACATATACTATATGTACAAATGTAACATATATACTTATGTATGTATGTATGTTATAAGTGACTGGCTTTCAATTTGTACATTAACCGCGTTGTTTGTTTGCAAACTTTATGCAAAGCTGTCAGAACCTTTTCGACAATCACTACGTGAGCAGCTGTAGCGTGCACCATAACGGCATTCAATACAAAGTCAAGGCGATCGAACGGAGTCGCAAAGAAAAGTCGCACAGCTAAAACCATACCAATAACCAAACATGCTGAAGATCATAAGACTTCAACGGTGTTTTTCAGTCATCACCACCTTTAGTGTGCGCGGCATTGGCGATGTGACGCTGAGCGAACAACGACTCAAAGGTAAGTGATCGCAGGCATTGCATGCGGCCATATAGGAGTACATACCCAAAGCAAGCGTGAATAGAAATAGAAACACTTGTGCTATACAAAAATATACGCACGCAAACATAAGCACGAAGTATAATCGCACGTGACCGTGATACTGACCCACAAAACTGAAGATATCGTTGAGTTGTTTAGTTAGATTGTACGAAGTAAGGCATGTAAATCTAGTTACCGACAGCGGCTGCGACTCGAGTGTGATCATATGTTTGCCTAGCACCTATCAATATTAGTGACACAGACAGTTTGTTCCGATTAGCACTTACTGCAGACTTTCGAGTAAATACTTTTCCATATCTTATCGGGGATTTTCGGTTTTTAATTCTTTTTTCATATTTTGATAAATGTTTAATTAACATACAGACAAACATTTGTGAGTTTAAAACAATTTAGAAAATTGGACAGGACTCTTTCAAATATAGTAAATAGCTTAAGAAAATCAATTATCCCTTACGTACCCAAAAGAAATATCCGTCGTCCGTGCGTCAAAAAGTCCGCCTGTTTGTATATATGCAAACTAGTCCCTCAGTTTTTGAGACATCAATCTGAAGTTTTGCGCACGTCCTTTTCTCCCCAAGAAAATGCTCATTTGTCGGAATCGCGGATATCAAACTACTATAGAATATGGCTACCATACAGACCAATCAATCAAATTCAAGTCCTTGTTAGGAACATGTTTTTTGCTTGGCAAAAAGTGTTTACGAATTTTGGCATTGATTATCCCCGGATATAATGCTACAATCGTTACATATAGTTCAAATTGAATCACTCTAACATATACATAGCTGTGATACGAACGATCGAACTCATGTCCTTGAATGGAAAACTTTTTTATTTGACAAGAGATCTTCACGCAATTCGGCATGAGCTACACATTACAACATTACAATCTTCAAACATATTCTTCAGATTCATCAGAGATATTTTCTCTGTATTATGTAAACTTAATTCGTCTTGAAGATTTTTATACCTTGAACATTGTATATTAAGTTTGTCACGAAATTTGTAACACCCAGAAGGAACTCCCTATAAAATGTACAATATACAAGTATATGAGTGATTAGTACGAAAAGCTGAGTCGATTTAGTCATTTTGAACCACGAAGTTTATAGTTCCTCAGTGTTTGAGATATTGATCTGAAATTTCTCCCCAAGTGGCTTCTGCTGAACGATCGTGCTTGAATGGAAAACTTAAACTTGAACTGAACGATCGGAATCAAGTTTTTGAAAGGAATCTTTGGTATTTGTGAAGGGTGTTATAGCTTCGGTGCAGCCGACATTAAAAATGACTTGTGAGCTTTCTAAGTCAAAGTTCTATTATTCTTTATTTTTTTTATTTTATGATTTTATTAAATGTGCTATTATTTATTGGATTTTTTATTTGATTATGATAAAAAAAGGGCCGAATATATCAATAATTGCTTTTTATTCTGTTTACAGCAACACAATAATGTTTACTTAGAGCATAAAACATTTGATTGTTAAGTTTGCATAGCACTTCAAACACTTCAACTACCTCAGATAGAATATACAAATATCCACCTACTTTTATGTACATACATATATACATACATCTGCAGGGATACCATGATAGTAGTAATTGATTTTCATTTAACTCTGAAGAAGTCGAAACTGCGCAAAATACTCACAAAACGTTGTCATAGGTATGAGTGAAATTTGAGTGTTCCAAATCAAGTCAGAAATGAGTTAATACACTGAACACAAAATTAAATATAAATACAATAAAACAGTTTACATTGTAAATATAAAATTCGCTTGTTTTACAGAAGATATATCACTGGTTTAATTTTGTGATTTAACATAAAATCTATTTTATTCATCGATTGTATTAATATTTTGCATAATTTTTGATGTAAGACCCAGAAATCACAAAATCGTTCCAAAGTGTTAGCTTTACCACTTAAATGCTGACAACTATGACTCTCGGTTGTGGTAAGAAGTTTTCTGATAGCTGTTGCTACAATACCTTAACCACGACCTGTTGCCTTAACCCGAGTGATTAACTAACCGTCGGTTAAACGCTTGACTCCAGTTAAGAGAACATCCTTAAATCAGTAACAGAAGATTAAAGAGATAAGTATGTATGTAAAAAGCATACATTTTTTTTTTAACTAAACGGGTTCCGAGAAGCATACATAAGCGGTAGGTTAGGTATCTTTTCCTGGAAAGCAATATTCGAGCTAAAGACTAGCGCCATTATTACTAAGGTTCTCTACAATAAAATGATGTATAGAAATATATTCTGCATATAGAATATTTTGAAGAAAACATAGGGGTACCTCGAAAAGTCAAGTAACCAACCAGATTTTGCATACCCGTCAAAACAGAAACAATATTGGATAAATAATTTATGCATTTATTAGGAACCAGTACTAACAGTACTTAACAGCTGTTCCATAGTTTATCCATTTTCGCAGCTACATGTCTATATATATCCATGCATCTCTCTTCTTTAACAAACCACGTCTCGCTTACGGTACGTAGTAATTTTGCTCCCGGCGTTTCCAAAATACGCAATGTATGAAAATGAAAAAGCAATAGGGACAACAACAAAAATTACACAGCCAGTTACCAAGGCAAAGACAGCAACCCAAAAAACCAGCTGACTCTCGAGTGTGAGCGCTCTCTTTCGTGTTTCTCGCCCCAAAGGTCACCTTGACGCGTATATATGCCGGCATACATAAAATAGCAACAAGAAATAAACAATGCTGACACACCAACCGAAAAACACGTAGAGTATGTATGCATGTACATATGTACACGGCAAACGCCGCTGCTACAACAAAGCGAAACGAAGCGACGACGCTACTTTCATGCCGAATATCCAAAATTTCGTCATTCATGTTGCTCCCCCCTATAGTCGCCAAGCCACCCGGCCATCCGGCCACCAACACCAATAATGCGTGCGTGCTCCGAGTGCTGTAGTCGTTGTCGCTGCTGCAGCTGCCGGCTGTTGGTCGACGTGGCGTTGTTGCTGCCCTCTACGTCACCAGCACGAGTCATAGCGTTGCAGCAGCGGTGGCAGCAGCGATTTACGTGTGTACATATAAGCAATATTCATACTGCGCTCGTCAAGTAGTTGTATCGCAACGAAATCCAGTCAAAATCAAACAGTTCAACGCTGTCGCCGTGAGCAGACGTTTTAACGCGCTTTCAGTTCCCGCCAAGTGTCTTTTCAGTGTTCAAAACCGCTACTTTGCTAGATTTGCAAAAGTTTCATTGAGCATAAAAAACTTAAAAAAGTACAAAAACAACACTACCAGTGTAAACACAAAAATGTAAGCAAATAAATTGAGTTTTAATGCATTTTTTTTTTCTTTGCTGAAAACAGAAAGCGATTGTGTGATTTGCAGCAATAATGCAATTTATTGTTTAAGGCCCGTATTGAGCTTCCTACAGTATGCGGCAGTAACGAAGTGTGACGATTTTTTATTTATTTAAGCACATATACCATATATGCACATATATAGTTAATTATATCTACACATAAGCACATATTCGTGCGCTTTGCATTACATCTACACACATAAAAAGTGATTTTATGCAATTCCTAGTAAATATATGACCTCATGCACGTAGCTGTTTTTACTGCAAAATTTTATTGTTTTATGGAACTTTTTGTCGAAATTTGTGTTTTTCAAAAATTAAAATTTAGCGACAACTTCTATGAAATATTCACCCTGTGACTGAAAAATTAAAATTTGTTAAGTGAAAATTTAACAATATTTTTTTTTTCTATACCATATTCTCCGCTTATAACATATTAAATTAAAAATAAAAACTTTAATCATTAATTATTAAGAGTCAAATAGAAAATTTAATTTTTCTAAAATAATACTATCATACTTTAAGCACTATTAAAAAGGGCAAAAAATAAGCCAAACAAATATTTCGTGAAGGTTCACAAAACTTCATTTTTTTCGATATACTTGTACATATTTGTATATCAGTGTACATATATGCTTGTGTATACATAAAACTGTATGTATGCTGTCAATAATTTGGTAAAGACAATTTGATATAGCAATGTCACCTTTGGTCGATTTGTCTAATATACGTAGTATGTACTATGTATATGGTATACATATTAATTATTTATATATATAGTGCGTATGTACATCCATAAACTTTCCGGTAGCCTAAATATTTCGATACAGAGGATAGAAAATTTCTAAAATTAGTCTGGAAAATTATTAAGTAGTGTTTTCTGGCAGACAAGTGATATCGTTTCAGAAGTAAAAGAGGCCAACCGCAGCATTGTTTGGTATGGATATTATAAAAGCGGACTAATTTAGAAAGCTTGCAAAAAAATTTAATAAATAATTAACATATGCATATACACATGCAAACCTAGACATTGACTAAATTGCGAAAAAAAATGACTTTTATCGAAGAAAATTAAAATTTTTTGTACTGGAAGAACATATTTGTAGTATAAACAGTAAATACTGAAACATAATTTTCAAATACTAAAATATTTTTGAATGACTGAATAGACGGAGGTTGAAACATCTTGGCAATCATACTTTCGGCAAATTAGAAAAAATAGCCGAAATTGATATTAGTCGCCGAAACAAATTTGTGGTAGACTCACAGCGCTTTGTCGATTTATGGGGGTCTTTATGATCAACATAGGTATAGAACTTTTAGGTATTACAATGGACCGGCAATTTAAGCCACCTTTCCCCCTTGGGATGGACCTCTTAACCTAACTCTATTACCAATTCAATACTCATAATACAGTATGAATTTATTAAATTTCAAGCGAACTGTTTTATTTGCATTGCCACTCAAATACGTACATTAGACTGGAGCGTAAAAAAACTTTTTTTTGCTTACCCTGAGGGTAAAATTTGTAGATTATAAAAAAAAAACTTCTGGAGTAAATTTAGAGTTAAAATTTTTATTTCGTAAAAAAAATTTGATAAGTGCTCAAGAAGCTGTGGAGAGTCCTCTTTCTGGCTAATTAAAAGTTACCAACTTAAAAAAATTATTTGTGTTCGTTATTGGAGTTTTAAAAATAAGTCTTAAACGACAACATGCTTTCCTTAAGCGTTAAAATAAATTTTGAGTCAAAAACCGTCAAATTCGGTAATTTCTATAAAAATGTGAAGAGTTTAAACCAAAAAAAATTTTTTTTTTGTCCAAAAAAAGTTTTAACTCGAAATTTACTTTAAAAGTTAGTGGGCCGCCTCTAAATGTTAAAAAGAAATTTTTTTATAATCTACAAACTTTACCATTAGGCTAAGGAAAACAAATGTTTTTGTTCGCTCCACCCGAACGTACATCCTAGAAAATTACTTTCGAAAATTTTCAAATTAGTATTAATTAGCTGAAAAGTTGAACGACATTACCAACCTGTGCGATCGACTTCAAACTCATATTAAGTTGTACAGTACTAATACATAAATGCTGGTCAATAATAAGTTAAAACTGCACTTGAAACTTCAGTAGTGAAGTAAAAATATTTAATATACTTTGTATATATTAAAAATATTTTTGTTTTATAAATTATTCGAGGTCATAAAGCAACCATATTTTTCTTTCGCGCAAATTTGCCGCCTAACTACGGTCAGCTGATAACAACTACCACATATACTATGTATTTTTCTACAATAGAAAAAACCTTAGCGCTGTTGCATCTACTACAAGGTGCATTCACCTTTCAGGCTGCAGCAATAACACATTGCGTTTTTCGCAAAAATCTTCTTCATTTGCCACTCTGTCTGCAGTTGCAAATACTACAACTATTGTATATACTGCTGTACGTATTTACATATGCATATATGTACATATATATGTATGTATATTATGTACTTTCTGTCTACACAAATTTGCTGGCTGAGCGCCCAGCTCACTTGCATTTTCATTGCAGACATGCGCAATGAAAATGTCGTTACCAACACTCACCTTCAAAACCGGCAAATATGCTCAGCTAACAGCTGATGTGGATAAAGACGGGCAAAGCAATGTCGACTAGAATATGTAGAAGAAATGGTGGCAGGTGGCAGTTGGCAGTGGCTAGCTAGGCAATTTTTCATGTGCAAATATACTTATGTACTATGAGTACACGAACGGATATATACAAGTATATTTGTGAATTTGCATTGCGGTTGCTCATATATTTATCTTTAGAAAATCGTAAATTGCAAAAGCTTCCAAAAACTCTACTATTCGCATTAGTATCTGTACGAAACGAATTTTATAAAATTTAATACATCCCTAATACTATAATAATACGTTTACTTGTGGCAAGTCTGAAGGTGTGGTAGAGTCTGAAAATAGCTCCACATTTTAGCCATGAAGTGGGCATGGTTTTGACTTTGAAAATGCCAACTGAAGGGCAAAATTTTTTATGCTGGTACGCTTTTGGAGCCCCCTTCGTATATACAAACTTTTATTGCCGCTTAACAACGTTTTGTTGTATGTATATATGCATGTATTCATTTACCAATGTAGCGGAAGCGAAATTAGTGGGTGTTGGTTGCTTGTGAGGGCACACGTGCTCGATATGGTACTATATGGAACTGAAGGGAGTAGAGCGTACATAAATACCTCCATTAAATTAGAGAAGCAAGTAAGATGGCCATATTTTTCAGTTGTAGTCATAATATAATTAAAGCCTTTCAGTTTTCTAAAACCATATAATTTATGACGAAAATATTTTTCATCTTAATTGATAGCAATAACTTGAATAAATTGCAATTAATGTTTATTAAGCTGGTTGAGATGTGTTGCGCTTAACTGATAAGGTTTCTGTTATCAGTAGACGAAGGTGAAAAATATAAAAATATGGAATTATGATGTATGTTAGGCACAATCGTTGTATGTATATATGTAAATACATACAAATAGCTATATCTTTTTCTAGGTCTTGACTAATTGTGCTTGCACAGCAAAGTGCACGTTTGTTTACATATAACTTTCAACAAAATATTATTGCCATATTTGTTTCTGATTAAAAATAATAATAATAACAACAAAGCGTTTAAAAAAAAAGTTTCAGTACATTTGGAAAAAGGTTCAGAAAATGTAGCAAAAACATATTTTGCTACATATAAAAACTTATAGTTAATGTTTTCTTCAACTTCCGACAGAATTAATTAATTCTGTTGCAAATTGAAGTTATCGAGTTACATTTGAACTCAACACCCCTCTAATAAATTCTACATTTTTGTGCCCACCCGAACTTTGCTTTAGATAACCGTTAGTATGTATCATTAGCAACACTTTTTTCTAAAAAAAACTCTAAAAAAAAGATCAATAAAAAGCAATAAATCGATTTGATATTGAATACTCAGGGTCATAATACTAGCATAGAGTCAGAAACTCACTGATAAGATAACCACTTTTGCAAATGTTGCAAACAAGAAAAGTAAACAACAAGCAATAGTAGTTACTATGTATTTTTTTAGTATGTATGTACATATTTATGTAACTAAAATTTACTGCTAATAATAAACTAAAATTAATGCGCCAGTTCATTCAGTAGGGGAACTAAATCGACAAAAATATTTATGCAGTTAATAATACACATAACCGCACCTACTTACAAGTATTTCATACGCATAACGGCTATACCGGGCAATCTTATCACAAAATTCCTATAGACTAAAGTAAATATCAAACAAGAAAGTTACGCACGTGAATTCCAAAGTAAGAGAATGTCATTTATTTTTTAAGTGGCTAAAAGCACTTAGTCACATATGGTAAGTACATATGTACATATGCATGCCTAAGTACCGAGAAAAACGGACTTTGAAAGTATTATTTGTTAAAAACGATAATTTTTTTATTAGATTGCGTACTTTTTTACACTCTGAACCCCGGGGTATATGTATTTTGCCACGAAGCTTTTAACACCCAGAAAAAAACGTTTGAGATCCCATAAATATAAATGATCAGCGTAACGAGCTAAGTCTGTTTAGCCATGTCTGTCTGTATTTACGTGAACGATTCCCGCAGTTTTCGAGATATTGATCTGAATTTTTTCAATTTTTTCACACTCCCTAGAAGCTGCTCACATGTCGGAACCATAGATATTGTACCAATATAGCATATATATAGCTGCCATACAAACTGAATGATAAAGATCAAGTTTCTGTGTGGAAAGCTTTTTTTATTTGACAAAATATCTTAACGAAATTTGGCACAGATTACTTTCCAAGACAACCCTGAAATTTCCGTAAAATATTTTCAGATTGGATTATTGTTTAGAGCTGTCATTCAAACCGACCGGCCAAAATCAGGTTTTTTTTTATTTTCATACTTTCATGTTTAATTTCATATACTTACATATGAATGTACGAGTATATATGTATATTATATTCCAATTACGGAAAGCTCTGGAAAAATTAATATAAAAATATTAACTAATTCCACTTGTAGCATGCATTAGACGCAAGCCATTAAAACTAAACAATATAGCCACTAAATTGTTTTTGTTCGAACACTTGTTCGAGCTCATCATGGTAATGCCAACGCCTGCCCATAATTATCATACAATTTAATTATTAACATTCCGCTTCATCGAACTAATGACAGAGAAAATTTTCATTTATTTGTTGTTGTTTTTGTCGCTTAGCTAACATTTATTAGGCATTCTTCATATGTATATGTTATACATATATCTATAAAGCGATTTTCGTCAAAACTTCGTGTAAATGCAAAAATTGAAATAACCTTCATGAAGGTCACCTTAACTTGCGCCACTTGGGAAATTCTTTTTATAAGTATATTGTGTTATGAACTAAGAGCGATATTTTTGCAGTGAGTAGGTCAGCGTTATTATATATGTACACATAACTATATATTTTTGATTGAATAAACGGCACGTGGAAGCGTGGCACGCAACAGCACAGCAATAACAGACTGCAGACATGTGATAAAAGCACTCATGGCATATTGGTCACATGAGCGCGGGCGCCAAGCAAGTGTGTGTAGCTAATGGATGAAATAGAGATTTTTGACAAGAGGGGCTGCATGGATACACATACACATATATACATATGTACATATAGATATATACGATAAATGCAGTTTGATATAGACACTACTTTCAGACCTACGTTCTAACGGTAATTTCGAAAAACACAAGCGCTTTTAAACATCTAGTTCATATCTTATAAATACATATGCTCGTACTTACATACTCAATATATTAATACATTTGCCCCTTTCTCATGCAGTTAAAATGGCTGGCGTATCAGAAAATCTCATGTCCAAAGTAGCGGAAGTTTTACCTTCCGGCGGACGTAAAGTCAGCATTGTCGGCATCGGTCAAGTCGGCATGGCTTGCGCTTTCAGTATTCTCGCACAGAATGTGTCCAACGAAATTTGCCTTGTCGATGTGTGCAAGGATAAGTTGCAAGGTGAAATGATGGATTTGCAGCATGGCTCGAATTTCCTTAAGAATCCCAAAATCACCGCCAGTACTGAGTACGAAGCAACGGCTGGTTCACGTCTATGCATCGTCACAGCTGGCGTACGTCAAAAGGAGGGCGAATCCCGTTTGTCGTTGGTGCAACGCAACACCGACATACTCAAGCACATCATTCCTAAGCTGGTGCAATACTCACCCGACACCATTTTATTGATGGTCTCAAATCCCGTTGATATTATGACTTATGTTGCTTGGAAGCTATCTGGTTTGCCAAAGAATCGTGTCATTGGCAGCGGCACCAATTTGGATTCGTCACGTTTCCGTTTCTTGATGTCACAACGTTTGGATGTGGCGCCCACCTCTTGCCACGGCTGGATTATTGGTGAGCATGGTGATAGTTCAGTTCCCTTATGGTCTGGTGTCAATATTGCTGGCGTACGTTTGCGTGAATTGAATCCCAACATTGGCACCACTGAAGATCCAGAAAACTGGGAAGAGGTGCACAAGAAGGTCGTCGATTCCGCCTACGAAGTGATCAAGTTGAAGGGTTACACCTCATGGGCAATTGGCTTGAGCTCGGCTGCACTTGCTGCGGCGATTTTGAACAACACCAGCAACATTGTTGCCGTCTCCACATATGTACAGGTGAGTTTACAGTTTGAAATTAATTATATTTTGGGTGTGTACTAAAATTTTTTTACTCTTGTATTAATAGGGTCAACACGGTATTGATATGGATGTATTTTTGTCCTTGCCGTGTGTGTTGAATGCCAATGGCATCACCTCAATTGTCAAGCAGATCCTCACAACCACTGAAATAGAACAACTGCAGAAATCCGCCAACATTATGGATCAAGTACAGGCTGGCATTAACTTCTAAAGCGTCTGTAATGATAAAAATATGTATGGAACTTTGCTAGAAGCTATATAAGCTTAGGAGAATAATATGTGTAAAATAAGTGTTTGTCTTGAAAAACTTACCATAGTATTTATTGACTTAATTTAAATGTTTAAACTGAAACTCTCCGTGCTACACATTTATACCCAAAGTCAAGTTGTATTAATTTAGGTTAAACATACATATTTGTACGTGTTTAATTTATGTGTTTATTTTTACGTTTTTATTTTAAATGTTCCTAGTCTAAAAATACAACAACACAAAAATAAAAGAAATAATTTTTGTTTAGTAAAACAGAACCTGAAATTTTTCATTTCCGTTACTTTAAGTTTGATTTGAAAAACTATTTTTAATTTTCTTAAATTTAAAACAAAGAATGAAGGAGAAGAGTAGAGAGAGAAAAAAAAAAATTACAAATGTGTACAAAAAATTTTTTGCAATTCGGAGCAAATTATTGAATACTATGAATCAGCCGCAACTACCTCATTAGCATAATTTTTCTATGGCACAAGTGGCAAGCCAAGGAACTACAACCATTGTGACGTCATAGCGCGAAAATAGTGAAAGCGACAGCGTCTCATTTTTGCATTGTGCTTGTTAGTGAAAATTTATAATAAAAAAAATTTAAATTAATTAGGCCAAGAGCCGGAAAACTCCAACGGAAAAAATAATATATTAAGCGATATCAAGAGAGTGCAATAACATCATTCTTTTAAAGATGTAGTAAATTTTTTAAACCAAATCTTAATTAAGCACTCAACTTATTACACTAGTTAAAATATACTATATAAATAAAACTTATCGAAATTTGCACTTTGTAACCCATTATCAAATGCACGGAATTAGAATATACGAAGCAAATACTCAGGAAAATATGGAAAAGATTTCGTTTTATTCATTTGTTGTTAAAAATGGTTTTGAAAAAGCTTAACAATCTTCGAATAACTGGTGATAATACTAACATATATTATATGTAACTTATGAAGATCATCTAGTGCGCTTAGAAAGCTCACATCACACGAAAAAATCAAAAGATTGTATAAGTGTAAGCGAAGTGGTTGTAGAAACCAGTACCAATTATCGGGAGAACTTCATACTCCTCAATATTAAACGCATATAAGAATGTAACATACATAATTCTGAAAAGTGTGAGAGCAATCTCAGCCGCTTTGACAGATTTCGATGCATTGAACTGAGCAACTTCTTTAATTATTCAACAACTAAACGACATCTAAGGAACTATTTTCTGAATTTTGCCGATTAGCTAATGGACTTCGCCTTTTGTGGATGTCGAGTCAATATACAAAATGTACCAAACGACTTTTTTACCTTTCAAACTATAATAAATCAAGAAAAAACGTTGACTTCGGCTACACCGAAGCGGTGCATGTCTTATAGCTAACTATATGTACTTGTATAACTAAACAAGAAAACGTAACCGTAAAATGGTTTCCTAGTTCTTTCTCGCCACGAGGTTTGACATAAACAAAAAAATCTTTATCTTGATTTTTAACAATTTGTTCAGAGATGATAACGTTGCCTTGCCAAGTTTCGTGAAAATTTCTTTTAAATAAAAAAGTTCTCTATACAAGTACTTGATTTTGATGACACAGTTTCAATGCTAGCATATATGAAATAGGAGACCGATGTAAACAATTTGTTCGGAAATATGGATATGTAGCAATTACCTTGGACAATAACCTTTGCCAAATTTTGGGAAGACAATTTGTTAAATAAAATAGTTTTCCATACAAGAACTTGTTTTTAATCGTTCAGTTTGTATGGCAGTTATATGCTATAGTGGGCCAACATCGAGAGATTTTTATGGCGAAACAAAAGTTTTATCGAGTAAAATATTGTACTTAATATCAAAACTTTTTACTACTGACTAACTCAGCACCCAATGCAAAAGTTAGCGGGCTTTTAGTCCATCTTATACACCATACATTATGTGAGAAGGCAACTAATCCAAAATACAATATATCTTTTAACCCATATAAAAAGAAAATAATAAGCATTTGTTGTTACAAATTTAAGTTTGTAAAGAAGGCAAAAAGACTAGTAGCAAAGGCGCAAACCAGCTGAGCTTTTATGCAACGCATACTAAGGTAGAAACTTTAAAAACTTTCAAATGATGCATTTTTACACATATACACGATACTTAAGTTCACACATATTTGTATTTTTTTTATCTATATGAATTTTTTGTACAATAAAAAAATTAGATACTATCATCAAAAAAACAAAATTGTCATTATACCTTTATTGCAACCCGAGTCACACATAACCACTTACGTACTGAGTACTTGAATTTTAACATTGAAATTGGCATGTCTGACCTATTAATTGGATTTTCTGCAAACAAGTCAATTTCGACTTGCAGCAAACTGGAGTTGAAAAGTAAGAAAGGGCTAATTTCGAGCGGTACAAAATATCATATATAAATAACAACCGGTTACCGAGATAAAAGTCGAAATAAAATTATAATGGAAAGAGAATCAAACAAGATAAAAAGGACTCTCGGAAAGCGTTAGCATAAGCTAGCTATTCGTTACGGTTTGGCCGGGACAGTCCGGAATTCAAGTTTAGTGTCCCAGCCGTGCCGGGCTTGTGTTGCTCTCTACCTATGACATGTCGCGAATTTCAGTGAATTATAATATGGAAAAAATCGATGATGAAAAAAACCGTCCCGGATTTTGCCGGGACAAATATAATCACCTAAGGTTAGCATTAATAAATTTTGGAACAGAGTGTCCGACATGGAAAGGAAGGCTTTCAGAAAGGTGTTAGTTTGGAGATATTTCGAAAAAGAGCTGCCACCTATTGGAAAATTATTACTGAAATATTCAAAAGTATGTGCCTAATATGCAAGAGAAGCAAAGCAGTATTTAATATAAAATAATTTATGTTTAAAATACTAAAATTGAAAATATCAAATTAGTTTTGGAAATTAACTAAAACTCTATATAGTAAAAATATGTATTTCTGCCGCTAATGTTGCAGCTCGAAAAGTTGATTATCCTTTTAAATTAGAAGAAAAATACCTAAAGTGATTAAATAATATTCGCTTTATTCAAGTCGTGGCTTTTGATCGACTACACCTATTCACGAAAGCCTTTTTCGAAGTTTTTCCTACATAATCTCTCCAAGATAACTCTTTACTTGGGTTGCCCCTTATGTTTGTTATATACGAGTATATTCTTATGTATGTATTCACGGTGGCTATTTCACGCTCGAGCACGGGTATAAAAACCGAAAAATACAGCATTAGCTCGCTGAACTCACTGATATCGGCTTACACTGTATATATGTAAGTATGAATGTGTATATGTAGTTATGTACATATGTTTGTGCGAATTTAATCATTGGTAATTCGAATACTTAGTAATCCACACAGCAGCTTTTGTACTATCCATGCTTACACTTCCGATCGCACAACAACAGAAACGTGCCCCGCAGAAAAAATCTTGAGCTGGGCTTTGATTACGATTCACGATAACCGTGCGCAGCGAGTAGAAAATACCAATATGAGATTTGAAATAAAAGCGTTAAAGCGTGGGCAATAACGTCAAGCAGACAGCAATAGCTCGACGAAGCGCACTAACGGTTAACACCACACAAACTGCTGCTTATCTCACGCCTTTCCTTTTAGAGTTTTACCAAAATGCAACAGCAACGCATTTATCTACACGGCTTATGGCTAATCAGCATATTTTTCTATTGCTCATATGGCAGCACCGAAGCTCAAATGCTGAAGGAAGTAGTTGGATTACAACAACCAACGGTGGAAGTGATTCAACAACGGAACTTTGAATTGTTGCAGGAAGCATTGCCGCTCGGCTGGAAGGCATTCTGTGAGTAGCTATAAAATGTTTGACGTGAAGGTTTTAATGCCAATAAAAACGTTTTTGCATTTTTTAGGTGAAGCGCCCGTTGACGAGTCTGTCATGCTGCTGCAAAATGGCGTCAACCCCTGCGATGCCAGCATACATGTCATGACAATCACAAATCAAAGTATACAATTGCCCATCAAGGCGATATCCGAGGTCAGTGACTTCGACATCAATCCGAAGCGCAAGACCTTAGTCTATGTGAATGCCTACTACACACCCGACAGCTATTTCAGTGTGCAGTCGCATCTAAAACTATTACAGACGACACGACGTGATCTCAACATTGTGGTTGTGGACTTTGCCAAAGATTTGTTGCAATTATATTATACCGTGCGTCATCATGTAGTCGTACAGGGTCATTTTGTGGCGAAAATACTTAATGCGTTAATGCAAAAGGGCGTTGCTCCAGAGGATGTTACTTTGGCGGGCCATTCAGTGGGTGCGAATATAGCGGCATTGGCAGCCAACATCTATGTCGAGCAAGTGTCCAGCTCTAACGCACGCGTGGGTCAATTAGTGGCCATTGATCCGGCGTTGATGTGTAGTCCAGCTGATATATACGTACAGGCAAATGTCAGCAGTCGCGTGATCGTTATACACGGTGAGGGTGATGTATTTGGTGTACGTGAACAACGCGGTACTATCGACATCTATCCGAATGGTATCGGTTTCTTTACACGTCGTAAATTACAACCAGGCTGCAATACGAAGAGTTGCAGTCACATGTACTCGTTTCTTTTGTTTATGGAGGCACTGATCGAGGGTGTTATGATACCAGCAGTGAAATGTGATAGTTGGTCAGACTTCCGAAAGCGCCAATGTGATTTCAGTGATGCATTGGCGATCGGCTTGAAATATCCCATGAAGGCTAAGGGTATCTACTTTTGTTTAACACAACCAAATCCACCGTTTACTTTCATGGAGCATGGTATAAAATATCAACGCAGCTTGGCATCCGGCGCCAAAACAAATTTTATCTAAAAGCTGGCAAGTAAACTGATGCTTAAGCCTTACATACGATAGTTGAGAACATAAGTCGCTAGAATATATACAAGTAGAAAAAATTAAAATTGAATGTTTTCTTTATTCGATATGAGTAAGCTGGTTTGATAAGCGAGCTTGTAGTTCTATTATAAAAAGTGTGTGGTAAGCGAAGAAACCTTGTATATGACTTTAAGTGATAAGCTCTTGTACGTGGTCTGTATATTACACAAGTGGCCGATTTGAATATCTTAAAACATAGAATTCCTCCGAAAGGCGATGTGAAAAATATATGGACTATAAACTGGCTTACTATCCATATTATATCAATTAAATTCCAATAATCCTTGTCTAGTTATAAGATAATAAGTGTGGTCATCGAAGCCATCTAACAGGATATCCATAAAACTCTCTCTTCTCTTTCATAGCTTGAAATATATACCATAAGTTATTTATATTGAAGTCAACATAGGAAAACCCCTGTTGGAGACATGTTCACTAAGCGCATTAACATAGAAATTACAGGTCTTATTATGGATAGTGTGTTCTGGATCCACGCTCATCATACTGAGATAGTAAATAATACAAAATAATAATAATAAATAATGTAATAATATAAGTTAATTTCTTGCATGTTTCGTTATTATTTACTGACTTTGCGGCCTTTGATGCCTAAAAACGTGTATCACTTTTACATATAATACATAAGAATGAAGTTCAAGGCTGTTATTTCGATGGCTCAAAATTGTATTTACAGATGTGTTTACTTTTTCGCAAAATCTTAAAAATTGAATGTCTGTTTTGCAATGTTAAAACATTTTTGGACATTTATATTCAAAAAAATCTATACCTATCTTTTTATACCGTATGTATACACCGAGGTTTGGCAATGCCTACGAAAATATTGTCATTATTAAAAAATAATTTATCTATTAATTTTTGATTTTGTTAAGATCCTTTATGTGGAAATCATCTTAATTTAACATAAAGAAATACGATAATAATGGAATTCTCTATAAACATTTTTCTTGTTATCATAAAATTTTGTTAGAAATATTCTCCATGATGTTCTAAAACATATAATAACAGTCATGAAAAAAAAAAATGGTAACAATCCGTTTATTCAGAAGAAAACTAATTTTTCTTGTTTATTCTAAAGATTTTTTAGAAAGTTCTCCAATTTTATTTTATTAAGACACTAAGTACTAAAAATTCGTGTATAATATTAAAGACATGATGCTATACAAGTATTATATGCCCAAAACTATTTGTTCCTTATTTCCTATTTTGCACAAAATAAATTATTATAAGAGAGGAGGTCAAATTTATAGTTATTTTGGAACCGTAAGCAATTCTCGACATGTCGATTGTAATGGACTTTATTATTTTAGAATTCTGTAAAATAATATGAGAAAATCTTAGGAAACATTTTCTAGAGGAGTTGTCACTGACTGCCATAAAAAATTGAAGAAAATGTTAATATTATGTAATGAACCAACGGACAATTTTCGATAGGAAATTTTTTATACAAAATAAATTATAAAAATTCCATGCTGAAATCTAGAGGATTGTCACCGCTGTTGCTGAGCGCTAACATTTGGCATCCCTGAAGAAGAAGATGGGACGTGACATTATTTTCAGAAAAATAAATACCTTTAATTTGTAGAGAGCTCTGTTTTTATAAATATATATTTGCATTTCTTTTCTACGTTTTTGTACTAATCAACAATTCCCTAAATAAATTTGCGAATAATTTACAAACAAATATACCGTTTAAACATTTATTCAATTGGTAAAATGCAGTCGCAGAACGGTACGACCGCCTATAAAATGGAAATTATGTGCATTCCTCATTCAGTTTTTGGTTCCACGACGAGATAGCGCTTGTATTGAAATAATGAAGCTTCATTTCTTGATCATTTCGTGTTTGCAATTAATCGCAGTAAATCAATGTTCTCTTATTGCAGAGGAAATCGGTGTAAAAGGAATATATGAGTACACCTCGTTTGTTACTCTCCGAGTTCCCCAAGATGATGGCACGGTAATCGACTACGGCGGAGTAGCAATAACACCATGTATAGTAATCAGCGTATCCGAGGCTTGCAATGCGTAAGCAATTTAATTGCCTTAATAAATATTTTGTTATTTTACATAATTTTACTAATAATTCCTAGTTCAAGGCCAATCGAAATATATAGTGGACAAAGCACTTGTTCAACCTACAAACAACGGCGGCTAGTCAAAAAAACAGTGACACAGGGTGCCTTGGGGATAGCAATCACAATCGAACCATTTGAGATCACTGCATTTACTCAACCAGGAGAGATTGCTTTTGATGAAGATTTTCCAGCAAATGTCACAGCTGTGGGCTGTGCCCCACCTATATCGACAATAAATAAAGCAAAATTCCAAGCTTATTCTCTGCAGACTTGTATGGATTTCTATAACGACAATACCTTAGGTGAAGATATATATTGTGCAAAATGCCCTGTTCCGGCTTCTACATGTTCGGCTCCTCGAGGTAATCCAATTTACTGTGGTAATAGAGTATTCGGTATAAGCAACAAAGTACATCCTGAAAAGTGCACTCTAGGCGGTTACGTTCAATTTATCAAACTAAAACCCTATGCTAATTTCATAAATGAAGTAATTAAAGAAACAAGCTGCATTGCATAGAAATGTCCAGCTTAAAAGCGTATCACAAGAAAAAGGTAAAAATATGTATATACATATACATATGAATTGAAAAAAGATTTCCAAATTTCCGTAAGAGCAATAAAGTCTTTACAATCGATTAATTTATTAAACCTTTATGTACACATTTTGTTAATACTATATGATGTACACATAACAATGTATTAAAATAAAATTTATTTACAATTCTTAGGCAGAAATTGCATTCTTTTTTGACTCAACAACCTAAATTTTAATGCGCTCTTTTGATATATGTTTGGGTTGCTCCAAATCTTTAAGTCAACCTAACTGTCGGAAATTGGCTTAGGCATTAGTGGAGGATAGTAGGTAAGTAGATAGGAGTGATGTCCAAATGAACTCAATTAGCGCTGAACGCGGCATTTTAATGCACCATCGTAGGACCTTTTACTTTTACTATCTCGCTTCATCGTTGCGGTCAAGCCATTTGTTGCTCTCAGTGCTTCGTTATAGTGGCTGTAAGTCCATATACTTGTATACTATTTCTGTTTTGTTATCTTGCAGCTTATCATTAATTTTCATCTGCTCTGTGCTATTTGTGCAAAAGTAGTAAAGAGTGTAAAGCTCTCCGCCTCAGATTCGTCTTAAAAAGCCTCGTCTGCTTTTTCGTTGCCGAGCAAATCTTAGCCTAGCTCTCACAAAGTTTATTTTTGAATTTGTATTCCTGTTCTGATTCTGATACAGAATAGGTTATTGCTTTATGTACAAAAAATTTAGTAGCAAGTGCCTTAAATTCTTACAAATTCCAAAAATAGATAGCGGATATACTCAATAATGTAGCTGCTTAAAAATAGTTTTACAAAGTCTTAAGGGGCTATCCACTTGCAAGTTCAAAAAAACGCATTTTTAAAAATTTACACTTTAAAGTGGCTTAAATAACCAATATATATCCCGTTCCCATAACAATCGGGTCTACGTAACCGGAACGGACCCGGATTTTTTCCGGCCAAGGACTGTCAACTCAGCCAAATTCTGCCGCTACAACAACAATATTATTATTATTAAAGTCGCTTCGGAGAAATTTTCCTCTCTGGCTCGGAATATACCCAAATCTCCGGAGATATTTGCAGGATCAATTTCATATATCCGGAGATTATTCTCAAATATATTTACATTCGATATACATATGTATTAGGGTGGGTCAAAAATCGCTTCGTACTCAGAAAAATTGGTTGATAGACAACTCTAAGAAAGTTTCTCCAAGCATGAGCTCTTAATTTTAACTGAAAGGTCTTCTTCCTAACGGTTTGCTTTTTTTTCTTACTATCACATAGAAAAATTCATATCACGCTTCCAAGTACTTGAAAACATATCTCGTTTGATGCATTTTGTAGTAAATTTAATGTTCTTCCAAAAAGGTTTACAACGATTTTTTCGTGAACCTAACCGGTTAAAAGATATTAATGGTTGAAGTTTGACTACTTTAAAGTAAATTGGTATTTTCTTTTGAATTTTATAACTCAATGAAAAACCATAATTTTAAATTGTAGATATAAAGTAATTTTTTTTAAATTCATAAGTGCATAATAACCCTTTATTATGTAATAATTGTATATTAATATTTATGAACTAATTACATAAGGCGAAATTATTTTATTTTGCGCCCAAAAGTATACGCCTTTTTCAATCAAATAAACGAAATGTCAAAAGTATCTACAGCTGATCGTCGCTTTACACATACTAAAGCACGTAAACAAAACAAGCACACAGTTACAGCCATAAACATGTGACCATCTAACTGCATCTCCAAAGTAATATAAGTACATGCAAGCACGATATCTACAAGCTCTTGGCCAAGCTGCTACAATCTCATTTTGATCGAATACAGTTGCTCACCAAATGATCGATTCTCTCACACTCACGCTCTCCCTCTTCCATACTAATACTGTTGCCATTATTAAGTCAAAGCCAAGTTAAAGCTGAGCGCATACGTGTATGGGGAGGGAGGGGAGTGTCACTCCATTCGGTTTGTCGTTGTATTGCAAGTTGGTAGCAGGCGGCGGTTTCAACCGATATTTGGATGTTAAGAGTGCTTCTCTGGCCGAATTGGAGCGCAGTTTTAGCGCGGCTGGCAAGCGATCGAGTTGTGGCGAATAAGGAAAGTGGCGCGTACGCAAGCATATAAACGCGCGTTCAAAATAAACAAACAAAAAATTTGTTATATATATGTATATGTGTATGCATATGTAAGTATATATGTATACATCATAAAACAAAAGGAAGGAAAATTGAAATGTTGAAACAACATATTAATTAAGAATAAAGTGAATAACTAATATTAAATCAGGCTTATGTGTGAGTTACAATAATTTTCAGTGTAATTTGTGTGCTAACGTTTGGTTAAAATGAAATTGAAACCTGAAATTGTTATGCAAATAAGCTGATTTCATACGAATCGTTTACGAATGCTATTGTGAAAGAAATTTTTTGCAACATTTTTCACTCTATTGAAAGTTGGAGCAGTCGGAAGTGAGCGCAAAACAAAAAAAAAGGTGTGTGTATGTATTTGTTCTGACAGCGTTTATAAAACGGAAAATTTAAAACAATAGTAACCTTATTAAGGTACTGAGCAAATTTGAAAGAAAAAAAACACTACCAACTATAACTATAAAGACTTTTTCGATAAAAATTGTATTACCGCTCCGTAGTTTTGGGGTATGGCACGCGCCGAAGTGTGCGAATAATAATATAATTTGCAGCTTTATTGCAATCAAAAATATCCATTATTTAGTGTTGACCAGTTGCTAAAAAAAACTTGCTTCACATATGCAAGTTTAGACATTTATCCATATACGTATACACTAGCCCTGCTGGAAATGAAACTTTTGCAGTGCGAATAGTCTGCATTAGAATTAGAAACATTACCTTCTTACTAGAAATTTAGCGAGAAATTGGTTTTCAGTGATCAGCGAAATTCTTTGTCTTGTGGTCTGAGCGCAAGAAACAGTCACCGGAGGTCAGACCTGGAGCATATGGTGAAAGCGGAAGCGATTCGAAACCGAATTCATGCAATTTATCGATGGTTTTGTTTGCTTTATGGCACAGTGCATTATCATGTTAAAACAGCACTCTCTTCTTCTTCAAATAGGAGTGTTTTTTACGATTTCGTATATCAAGCAATTAAGTAACGTTAACACTTGTCGCTATATCTGGTTTTTCACCTTTACTATGTAGGCAATGTAAATTATTTCATGCAAATCCAAAATATATTTGATTCACCAAATCGTTCTATTTCCTTACATAATGCTGACGTAATCGTAGTAGTAACGATTGCCTACCTGAAACAGTTACCATTTTAAGAATTTGCATTCTATTTGACACTGGCGCTTACTGATGTTCCAGCAGGGTCCTGCCATATTTTACTTTACAACAAACTAGCGTGTGTGTGTGTGTTATATGTATGTACATGTGTATAGATATACTTATGTATATATGAATATTGAAGCGTGCGTTAGCTTGAGCCACATTTCATTTACGTTTTTACCAAATATTTTATACACTCTGCGTGCTCTTTGTTAAACATTTGTTGGTGTATTTTTATTGGCCATAGCTTTTAATGCACTCATCATTTACACGGTCGCACAGCTTGGAAAGTACTGTGTAAGTGTAGCACTCACGCACACAGCGACATACATTTGCTATGCATTTAGTCAAAGATCGAAAAACACCTGACGCGCAGCGAAGCGGTAAGAGTAAGAATTCGAAAATAAATAAATAAACAAAATGCAATTGCAATTGTACACATACCCACACACTAACATACTTACATATGTATATAGGTATGTAGTGGCACTCAAACCAAAATATCTGTGCTGCTCGCTTGTTTGTCCATTGAAATGTTATTGAGTTACCAGATCAAATGTAATGTAACCGATTTGATTTGACGTGTTTTGTTAATATGTGTTTGTGTATACATATATTATAATAAATAGTAGGTTTATATACTTACATACATACTGCAAGCATGCGCGTTCACACCAACAAAAGTATATGAATTTGAAAACTAGTGCAGGCTAACGTTAAATAAATATAAAATATTATGTTTCGAAAACCATTATTTGTTCGATGAATTTTCATTTTTTATCAGTCTAACACTATTTCTGTTTTAGTTTAAGGGAAATTGCTGCAGAATTTAACAAAAATTAAATTTTCCCTGAAGAACTAATAAGGGTCTTCAAAATGAGATACAACATTACTCATACGCTGAAAAATATGTAATAAAAGTTCAAGGGGGAAACAAGGTTAGACCGTTTAAAAAATCTATTAGTATATATTTTTTATTACCTGAAACTGCTATATTAAGTTTACCATGAAGTTTGCAACATCCAGAACGAAAGTCGGAACCCTATAAAATATTTATACAAATGATCAGCGTGACAAGCTGAGTCAATTTAGCCACGATTGTCTGTTGGTCTCTAAATACGCGAACTAGTCCCTCAGTTTTTAAAATTTAGCATAGATTATTATCTAAAATCGGATCATCATAGCATATAGCTACAAACTGAGCGATCAAAATCAAGATAAAAATCTTTTATATATTTTTATGCCATAAGAAATGCACTTGTACAGGGTATTGAAGGTAACAACTGATGTCAAAATTTTTTCTTATTTTAATTTGATAATTATTAGCAAAAGTACTGAAAAATATTTGCCAACAATTTTTTAATGAAAATTCTCACTTGTTCTATTGTTATAAATCATTAAAGTGATTAGCTATCTTTCAGGCCCTTTTTGGTACTATTTTTGCAAAGCCAATTTTCTCCAAACTAGATTTTTCTCTTTGTCGAAAAAAAAAAATTACTCGTTCAATTAACTTAAAATTTTATCAATATTAATATCAATATGTATTTCAAAAATTATCCGAAGACGGCCATACGAATTTTTTTGTCATTTATTTTGACTATACTGTGCTTCAAAAAATTTACATTTATTTATCAAAATATCATCCTAAATCTTTTTCGAGCCTTTCTTATATAAAATGGAAAGGTAAATTCTGATTTTTATTTTTATGAATGACTCTGAAACTTTATATATGAAATCGTTAAAATACGATTTTGTTATCGAGTTAGAATGTGATTTAAATGGCCTAGACTACTCTATAGATACCAATCTACAGGCATCATTTGGTTTCAAAGCTCAAATAGTTATATTTATAATAAAGTTCTTTAAATAAAATTACACCTTTTTACGTTGTTTACTTGTCAAGAATTCTAAAATTATTTGATGTTTCGACGCTCTTTAGTGAAGAAGGCCCTAAATTCGAAATGGTTCTAATTTATTTAGAAAAGATTCTGGTCTAAATGAGGTATCAGCGCATTCTTCTCAAATAAATTTTTTCTAAATAATTTCGAATATTAGCGCGTAATGATTCGTTAAAATTGAAATGTAGGAAAGATAAGAAAAGGAAACCAGTTTGGAGTATGAAGTAAATTAAGCGTATATACCAGTTAGTCGCCTTTCAAGTTATTTTTTTTTTTATAATTTATATAATTTTTCATACGTCTTACAATCTTTTAAATAACGCTAACACGTCAGAAGTGCAGAAGAATTTTTAAATTCTTACATGCTATTTGCAGTAAATAATAAATAAACAAACATATATGGACAATAAAGCAAGTAAAAAAACAGGTTTATATATGTATGTACACCTTTACATCGCTTTGTACACATATGCATACTTTCCGCCTATTTACCTTTTACAAGTGGTTTTCAAAGTGTTTTGTTTTTTTTAGATTATCTAAGCTGTTATTTTAATCAATAGGCAACCTTTTTATGCTGCTACGCATGCGCGCCACTCATGTATACACACATATATGCTATTATGTACACAAACACATGGATACAATTTGTTAGTTAATTGTAGAAGAATTTACATTGCCGCATGAAGTGCAGCAGTCTTCTATAAATAAAGTGTGTGAAGATTAAACGGTGTTTTAAGGATGCTAATGCAGCCGTAAATCTTCAAATCCGTGCTCTGACTGGGAATGCTGGGTTTGATTAAAGCAATGGGATATGATGGTTAACCACCAAAAAATATTGAAGTACTAAAAACAAATCTTAAGGTGGACCTTAAGTCAATTCAATCGGTTACAAAACATATACATACATTTGAAAAGAGCGTCTGCAACACACCTATTTCAAACAAACTTTGATATCTGTACAAAAAGTTGTTCGCAACCCATTCGGTGCTCTTTCGAAGCCGTCTAGTTTCATTTTGAACGTAATATACTCTAATGCATTGCTTGGATCTACAGTTATACATATTTATTCTAACCGCTCGCCATGCACTTGCACTTGAAAAAGTATTGAAAAAATCGTGCTTATAAATAAATCTCGTAACTGCGCCGAAATGTAAGCATGAAGCTCGTTAATTGTGTTTCATTTCAAATTTGAACGAACCGAAATTTGTGTTTAACATTTATTTTTCTCTTAGCTGTAAATTAAAATGATCTTTCAGTTTCGGCCACTTAGCAGACAGCATGCAATTATTTATTTTTTAAGTATTTCTATGTGTTAGTGCTTTTTGTATTAAATTGCTTTGTACGAGTATATTAAAAGTGATTTGTTGTGTTTTTTCTAATGCTTCAGCGGTTGCACGTAAAAACAAGAAAAAACGTTAAATTCGGTTGCATCGAAGCTATAATACCCTTTACAAATATAAAAGCTCTTTACAAGAACATGATTCCTATCTAATTTCGTGAAGATACCTCGCCAAATGAAAGAGTTTTTCGTGGAAGCACTTGATTCCGATCGTTCAGTTTGTATGCCAGCTATATGCTATAGTGGTCCGATAACGACCGTTCCGACAAATGAGCATCTTTTTAGTGAGAAAAGACAGGTGTAAAATCTCAAATCGATAGCTTAAAAACTGAGGGACTAGTTTGTATATATACAGACAGACGGACATGACTAAATCGACTCATCTCATCATGCTGATCATTTATTTATATATTTTATAGGGTCTTCGACGTTTCCTTCTGGGTGCTATAAGCTTCGTGACAATATTAATGTAACCTGTGCAGGGTATAATAAGCAAATTAAAAAATTAATTAGTGTTTTTTTCGTTCCTACAAAAATTTAGGTACATGGTTGTTCATTATTTTTATTTACGTGAATTTCGCGCTCGAACATTTCCCTTTCATCATGTAGTAGCACAAAAAATACATACATATATTAGAATGCATTCGCAGCACAAAATAGTCATAAAACTTGGAGTTTTATAATGCGACTAATAGCATTATATTATATAAAGAGAAGGGGATATTTGCTTACGCTTTCAGTAATATTTATGATCTTTAGAAGCTGGAATTTATTTCTTAGATCAATTATTTTAGGACAAATCAGTAATATTATAAGTTAACTACACTAATGCTATTAAACTGCATTGCAACATTGCCTTTGGCCGACAAAAACAAAAATGAGCTGCACCCTTATAAATGCAAGGCTCGTGCTAGGCTTCAGTGTGGCGATGTGCTCCCTGTTAGGATATGTG